CGCGAGGCCGCGTGCAGGCCCGGCGTCGTCCGTGTGTCCTGCGCGGTGCGGGGTCAGGCGAGGCGCCTGCCCGCTTTGAACGGGGTCGCCGATGGCCGGTTCCTTGCTCTATGTCGCTATTATCACAGTCGTGTGCTGTGTTGATCTGTAGTTTCTTTGTAAACCTCCACGTCAGCTGCAAACAGGGTCCCTGATCGCTTTCCGTCAGCAGCTTCATTGCTTCAGCTCTGACACCAGCCCAGTGTGACAGTGTAAGACGAGAGGGACAAATCTGTCCCGCTCACGCTCCAGAAGTTTCTGCTTTGTCGCCATCTGTGAGATACTTGATCCTGTTGCTTGTGTGTTTTATATATCAAGGTTAGCAGTAATATAATTTTCATTTTTTTTCCTTTTGTGGAAAACCAGGTACCAGATGGTCACCGTCATTTTCCCCATCAGATCTGGTCACTCACTCAGTGTCTCTCATTTTGGTCAAAATACTTTAAAATACTCTGTCAGGAAAGCCCAGCTGCCAGGTACCCTGAGCCCTGAGTCCTGACCTCACACTGTGGCCCCAGCGCCCCCTGCCGGTCCTGGGTGTCTCAGCCCCCCACTCCTTTCCCTGCAGGGTCAGTGTCTGGCCACAATTTCTCCCCCAGTGTCCCCCACAGTCACACAGGCCTGTGACCTTGGGTTCAGGAGCCCAGTGCAGGGAGAGCTGGTGGGGCCACAGCAGAGATGGAGACGGGCCTGGCGTGGGGCTGCCTTCTGCGCTCCTGGGTGACATGAATGGGCCACAATGGTCCCCGCTCCCCTTCCCAGGACACTGGCGGATCCATACCAACATAAACAGAGGGGACAGACCCTGAGACGGCACAGGGGGGGCAGGGCGGGGGCATCACCACCCCGGGCCAGAGTGCTGGGGCTGCCCAGGACATGACATCGGGGATTAGGAGGAGCCTGTCAGTCTTCTGTTACCCCTGACGCACACCCTGCCTGGCCTAGCCCCTTCCTCCGTGGGAACCCCCAGGAGACACATGGCCAGCCCCAGCAGTTCATCCTTCTGGACGAGACTCGGTGTTGCCAGGACTTGACCCTGTGTAGCTGAGAGCTCTGACCGTGTCCCAGGGCTGACCAGAGCTGAGGGGGTAGTGTAGACCGACCCTGTGTGTGGGGAGGCTGACACCAGGCAGGAGGCCCCTGCCCCACCCTGCACCTGCTCCTGGCTGTGCTCTGTGCTCTGAGCCTCCTGTGCCTCTGCCTGTCCTGGGTCAGCGGGGTCCTGACCCCACCCCAGTGGACCTGCCCCGAGGGGAAGACCCTGTACACAGCACAGGTGGGGGGAAGGTGCGGTGCTGTCACCAGCCTGAGCCCCGGGTTTTGCATCCAGGGGGACACCTGAACTGTCGGGTACAGTGGGGCCATCCCTGTACGTGGGAACTGATCGGGTCCCTCGTCCTCTGGGCTCTGGGCCTCACACCTGACTCATGGGACAGGCCCTGTCTGCGGACAGAGATGTGGTCACAGGTCCCTGGCTGCTAGTCCCCATCAGGGCCACGGAATGGAGAGGCCCCAGGACCTGACAGGGGCAGGGCATCTGAGCTGGGTCAGCAGCACGTGCGGCTCAGGGGCTGTTTCTTGTCCATCTTACTGCACACTGCCCCTGTCGAGCTTCAGGAGATTTGTTGTGAAGAAACTGCCCAGATCCTGGGAACACAGAAGGGTCGAGTTCCTGGGCAGTTCTCATCAGTGAGCAGACAGTGTCTGCGTCACCCACTACTCAGCAGGAGGTCGTGTAGGGCGGCTCCGGCATCTCTCCAGGTGGCCAGTCTGCAGTGACCGTGGCCCAGGGGCACCTAGGGGCTCCCTTGGTCGTGCGTTGGGCATCTGTGGAATACAATGTGGTGTGGGGTGCTCAGAGTATAATGAGCTCATGTGGGGGTCTCCAGGGGAGCCCCACCCTTGTCACCAGGGTTTTGATTGGTTTCTTCATTGCTTACTGTGTGGTGGGGGTGAATTTGCTGAAATTTACTGGAATTTTCTGTCCTATAGCCACGGTGTGGACAGTGTTGCCTGTACCGAGGTGGACATGGGGATGAGGAGACCAGGGGTTTCTGTTGTGAAGTTTTTGCAGAGATACCTGGGACTGGTGAAGGCTCCAGTCTGTGGGGAGGTCTCACTCTGACAGGAGCACATCCTCCTAGTAATCCCAGGAATGTGGGGAATGGGGGCATCTCAGAGAGGAGCAGTAGCCCCTGGGGAGCTGAGGCCTTGCAGAGGGAACCCCAGGTAGCAAGCCCCAATCCAAACTCTGCACCTGCTCCTGGCTGTGCTCTGTGCTCTGACCCTCTTGTGCCTCCTGCTGTCCTGGGCCTCTGGGTCCTGACTACGTCCCAGTGGACACGCCCAGCCCCCTCCTGTCCCTGAAGGGTTTGTGTCTCGGCTCACACCT